TACACACGTCCCTTCAGATTCAGGGATAAACCATTCTGATGCCACAGGTGTCTCAAGTTAGCAAACGCGACCCGAGCCTTGCAGATTCGTGCATTCACCGCATCTGTCACACTACAGTCAGAATTAATACAACTTCCAAGATACGTGAAACACTCCACAACTTCGAGTGTCTTCACCTGGATGTCCAGAAGCATGACCTTACTCTTTGTGAGTCTAAAGCGCACGCCGAAGGACGGAACGACTTTGGTCAGTTTATCCAAAAATACCTGCGCCTTTTCCTTTTTGAAGACGATATCGTTTGCATATTCCAGATCGACAAGGTTTTCGTCAGAGGCTATTTGAACACCAGGGTTTTGGAGACCCTCCAGCGTTCGTCTCATTCTCACCAGTCACGAAATTAAATAGGGATGTAGAGAGTGGACATCCATAACGGACACGACACTGAGTACGGAGGCTTTTAGATAGCTCTCCGTATACGTCTGGAAGTCTGAGAATACAAAGAACGTATTATGTTCACAAACTTCCGGGGCATTCCTTGGTGGGTATGCATGTCAAGGCGAACGGACCGACCAACCGAGTCGAATATGTCTCGGAAATCCAGGAATACTAAAGGACGTATGGATCTGTTCTAGCACCTGACGGAGTATAAAGATCTCGTCAACTAACCCCCCCCCCCACACCATGTCACTGAGGAGCAAGTCACATTACCTAAGCCCGGTTACGGCAAAACAGGTGAACAACACCATGAGGATAAAAAAGATCGATTTATCGATAGCTCACGAGTTATAATAACCTGGAGAGTCTGTACAGATAAGATGAATGTTCTTGATTGGGCCGTTCGACAAGCACGGTTGATGGTCAGTCCACTTCACCATGGGCGCCAAACCCCAGCGTGTTGCGATGACGATCCAGTCCTTTGAACACGTTCCATGGAGTTTAAAGACCAATCAATGGGCATGGGTGACTGACAGGAATTTTCAACTGGATTGAGAGTCGGAGAAGAGTTCCAATGCATTGCCAGACCACTATCAGGAGTCAGTTGTTGAGGGCTTATTCCGGGCGCGAAATCTGTAGACGGTGGTGAGCTAATAGAGGGGTTGTTTGTTAGAGTTGTGGGTGGGATAACACACACAAGACTCGCGGGCGATTCAGCAAACCTAACCAGTGCTTCTGCTCTTCTCTTTATCAACTCAGCTAGCATTTTGGAAAAGATCTCAGCCAATAGGGGTTGAGAACCGTTGCACTGAACACTGTTCAGGAGATTGTTACAAATCTGTAGTATGTTTGATTCACAAGAGACGAACCCGTAGAGGAACATTCTGGCCAGATCTGTGGACAGTGAGGATTTGGACACACCCACGGACTGCCGAGATTGATCAGTGTCTGAAATTAAATGCAAGAAGCGGCGATGAATAGGAGATATACTTTGCTAACGTGTCACGGCAGTGACTAAGACAGAAACTTCTCCGTGAATGACATCCCCAAAAATTGAACGGAGCACATATCCGTCAGATTGCTAGGAGTAGGGCACGACTGAGTTAAATTGGAATACAGTTTGGGGCTGATCAGGTGGGCGCAGTCCCCGGAATTCGATACAAATAATTCCGTACTTGAACATCAATTTAGCTGAGTGTTCATTCATGATTGACTGATCCGTTGGAACGCTGATCTGTTCCAAACGCACTGCAACGGTGTAAACAAAAGCTCTATCGACCACTCTCCCGAGGAAATGTGCGTGGGTGCTTCACATTAGTCTGTACGTCCTGCTATATTCAAAACTTTCTGACAGTGGTCTGGAATTACGGAGACCTTGAGGCATACGAACGTATTTCCGACATACACTTCAATCGACCTGCCGCACTCACGTGACCGTGCATTCTAATAACGTATCTTCTAACGGGACTTTATCACTTAGCAATAGTTCAAATCCACCATTCCTTTATAACTGAGCTGCCATACCGCGAACATGAGGACAACGATACTGCCCAAGCCTATACGAGATTCCTGGGGGTTTTGTTTCGAACCACGGAACCTGGTTCAACAAACACTGATGACCTATCCTCGACTGGGGGCACGAAACGCTAAACTCCACTAACAGTGTAACTGTTAATTACATATTTTAAACGTTCACAACAACTTGAAATGTAGAGTTCGAAAGCCGGCTGGTAACAAGGTTGCGGGCATAACAAGCCAAACACTCAACCAACCGCGTCGGAACCGAGCTCAACTGAGTAGAACAACCGGCTTCCGGTACATTTTGAAAACAAAACCAGCGAGCATCTGTGTGCTTGTTGCCCAGATTCTTTCGAACTTTTTCCAGGCTGGTGACGGGACAGGCAAAAACATCCCAGTCAAATCAATTGCCGGAATGTTTTTGGCCGTAAGGTGAACTGTTTCTTTAGAGCTCATCCATTTAGCATACTCGCACTCTAAGTGACCTTCTTCCCTATGCAATGACATGCGAATATCTAGCACCATGGCTCAGTGGATAAGGCGCGAACACAGTGACCTTGAGGCCCGTGATTCGAACGTGACCTCTGCGTCTCGACAAGTACTCTTGACTAGGATTGGGCAACCCGGAGGTGTCTCAGCCCCTGTGCTGTCTCCCGGATCATGACAACTAGGCCCCAAAAGGTTGTTACAACTGATCGAGCCCATCGCCAGATTCAATGATCTCAACTCCATCCTGTGTGGTGTGACACGGTCCACTCTGTCCCAAGCTTAGGACAACTAACCTACAACTGACCTTCATAGTAAACCAACTCACAGGTAAGGGTTCCAACGCTTTTCCAGTGGCGGCGAAGATCAAAGCGATAAGCAGGCCGGATTTGCTGGGTGGCCTGACAAAAAACACCAAGCCTTCCTCGTGTGGGCGGACTTGTTGAGTCTTTTCGATCGTGTACACCTGCCCCTGTCGCACCTAGTTCACACTGGGGTCATCGATACGGCCTAACTGCTGGGTGGCCTGAACAAACTCAGCCAGTTCTGCATTCACACAAACCTCTATCAACATAGAAAACTACTATGCATACGGGTGCAAAAAAACTGCGCCGGTGATAGGACCGAATATGTCATCCATGCTAATCGAAAAAACAGCTTTACTGTTTTGTCGCGTCCTCTAAAGTGAACTCTACGCGTTCCAGTTGATTGTTCTGATCCAGTTTACTATGCTTCTTGTCACCACTTTGCCTATTTGCACCTTTGCGTTCGAGGTCATACCATAGACGAACTGGTTAGAGAGCAAGATAAAGCCGCCGCGTGACCTTGCTCGCCGGAAAAGAGACTCGAATGAAATGTTAGTTACTCCGTTGTGTTGAAGGTCCTGGAGGCACTGACAAGCTTGTAGCACTTATAAACTGCTCTTTTTTATGCTCAGTATCATCTTCTTTTTCCCCACCAGTATCAGTCACATCGCTGTACAAAAGTTTGTTTTACTGAAGTACAACCGCTACCGCCCGCTCGTTGGCTCCAACGTGACTTTGAGACTTTTGCTGAGTGACTGTTGTTGTGACCGCCGGTTGGCTATATTTGATTGCTGCTAACACTAAACGTGAACCAACATTTCAGCTACAAACACTGGACTAATATGTTCACACTTGTGGATTAACATTTCAATCACTGGAGATCTGGAATGCCAGGAAGATAGAATTATTCTTGGTGTGGTGGTTCAACGGAATACGGAACTACGGAATCTCCTATTTTGAACTGTGAGTCAAGATTTACTCGGATTTTTCTCCTTGTGACTTTGTATCTGGCTTACATTAGTAATTTGCTCTGTTCACTAGAGACTCCATAGGGCTGCTAACCAGTACAAGCTGGCCCCGATTGGTGCTGGAACGTTTGTAGTCCAACAACCATTGATGACAAAGCCGAAAAACCGATAACCGAGCCATAACTGTGGGACATGGTGGAGAGGTCGGGTTACCTCAGTGGCTGACAGGAAGCCTGTGGTCGAAAGGTCGCGTTTTAAACCTTACCACGTCTAGGCTAGGGCAGTGTGTTCCCTTCGAGCTGCACAACAGTGTCACATCGGAAAGACGATACAGATGGACCAGTTTTTGTTCGTGAAAAACATTCCTTTGCACACCAATGTGGTTTTAACGCGGTACTCCGCTGAATCCCAGATGAACCTCTCCTTATCATACTGCTCAACTTAATGTGCCGCACAAAGGCAGTCTGATTTCTTGATGGAACACTACTCATAAGGTTGTTCAAGAATTTCATAAACGAGAGGTTTAGATGTAATTCAGTTGAGTCTCTCCGTGGAAATCTGGGTTCAAGTTGACCGAAACTCAGAGACCGCAACTAACTGCCCGAAGAAGGCCGGAAACAGTCATGACCTGTCGAACAGGTCTCAGCAACCTGGTAAGTCATGTTCTTTCAGTACTTTCCTTGTTCTCAACTCAGCCGAAGCTGCTTTCTGGAAATCCCAGGGGATCCAGAAGACGTATCACACAATTACGACGCATCGTACCGAAGGTGGCATGATGGAATGTCACACGCCAGATTGTCCAAGCCTAGAAGATAGAATTAGTCGAGTTTCTGAGGTTGGGTTCGAACCACGAACCTTCCGACCTGTAAGCCCTAACCACGGAATCATATCGGGGTACAACACAAAGATAGGGGCCCCTAGACCAACCAAGACTGGGAGCTTTGTCACGATAATCGAAGAACAGCCCTGCCTGTTTCCATTCTTGGCTCATTGAAGTTTCGTGTGTGAAGTTAGGAGGGCGGTTACCGCGTTTAACTGTAATCAACTTGGTCGTCATAGGCTGTAGTCTCCGCAAAATCTTAAATACGATCGAAATTCTGACAGTATTAATGAAACAAACCAAGGAGATAAATAAGGGATACGTCATTTAGGAATATAATCGTTCGAAAATCGATTTTAGCTAGAAAAAACGATCACATGGATGTTCTAGTGGCAAATTAATCTACCCAAGAGACCACCACGGTGGTTTCCTGACTCTCCTGGAGTCAGGCATCTTAAGAGAAACTATGCGCCCAATCTCAGATTATGGCAAACTGTGTTGTAGGAAAGTCGCCTCCCTTCGGTGGCGGCAGGAGGCGTCCAGACACGAAAAGTACAGATGCGGAGAAGGATGCGTCTCAAGGTCATCAACGGTACTACACGTTCGGGATGGCGGGCGGAGCTCACCAAAAACGGTTTAGCAGCATGCGACCAACGGAGTGGGTGTGACGTTATTCACACCAGGAACGTCGCCATCGGCTGAACAGAACGAACAAGCAAATGACCATAATAGGCTATTTAGCCATCCTACACAGGAGCCCTGACAATATAACCGTGTCCCGAGTTCTCCGTCCTTTCCTTATCGCGTGGCCTGGCGGGCTCAGTTCCGTCCTGACCAATAGATAGACACCCACGATACGACAAGGAGCTCCTCCTGAAGGGGTACAACTAAGCGCATTAGCAGTTTGTGTTTTAAAATCTGGAAAAGGTAAAACAACTTACTGCCTACGACCGCCTCCCTGATAAACCCGACGGCACGCTCCAAAATATCCGCCTTCTCGATCTTTTCAAACTGAAATAGAAAGTAAATAGAAAGTAACAACTGCAATAAGGAGTTAGGACTGTGGATTGAGCTTACTTTGAGTCCAACGTTCTCGACGATGGGATAAACATGTACTCCTATAAACAAAAATTACGGGACATTCTGCGAGAGAACGAGTTGAATAAAAGCCCACCAACATCTACAATGCGTTGTCGTATTCAGTAGTATGCAGTGCGTGCTGATCCGCTTCTTGCGAGGAGACAGATAAAAAGCACCAAGTCTTCTGAAAACCACATGAATGGAGAAGTTTCGCCCCCCTCTCTTTGTTCTCCTTTTCAAGACCCGGATTAGCGCTCATCTACCAAATCTTTTGTAGTACACCCCCCCCCCCGCATGATAATCAATCGTAGGGCCGCCAAATTCTTCCACCATAACCCCACGACCAAGGAAGGAGATGAGGTGAGTTTCGGCCAGTATATTACGGGCAATGGTAGAAATCAAACTCACGCACGATATCAGGTTTGCTCGTCATGAGCGGGTTGTAAGGGAACTCGCAAAACGTCTTCGTCGACTGGGATACACCGTCCTCGAGGAGTTGAGAACACCTACTTCATCAAACCTGACCTAATCGCTGTTCCGGAGCGCCGAGCTACTGTGAAAGACGTCAGTATAGTCTCGGATGAGCGCGGAGTGACTATGTAGAATGAGAAGAAACAGAAGTATGATGCAGATGAATATTCCCTCACCATAATCCCGGCTCTTCGTGCAATCGGTTGTGATGTCGACTTTCTGGTCCACAAAATCATCTCTTATCGAGGGATCTGCTTTCCTCAATCCCTCAAGGCTGTTATTGGACTGGGAGTCCCTAAGGTCATAGTCAGTGACTTGTTTGCTTACCATTGTGGGCTCTCTGCGTACTTATGGCACTTTTATGTGTGGCACATGGCGTTGAGTTTAAATTTTTGCCATTTAATTTCACACCGGACTCAGTATGACGGACACTTTGTGCCTGATGTTGGAGTCTTGCTTGTGCCAGCGCTTACCGCGCATTGAAGAGCATTCAACATTGTTTCTTCTCTCTTCGGTTGTTGGTCTTTAGACGCGTGTTCCCATATCAAAATTTTTTTTACATACGTTGGGATTTATCTCATCTGACTGGAACTGTTGTTGGCATGAGTTCGAATGAGACGCTTCTCTCTTTTATCTCATATCCCCCTGTTACCCTTTCGCGTTCGTCCCTTGCATTCACTTTTTATGTTTGTGACCATGCTCTTCAAAAATGACAATATATGACTGTGAGGTGGCGTTTCTGACCGTAAGTACTGATCTAAACCTCCGTACGGTTCCAATTGGAAATCGGCCTAATTGTGAGCTAGAACAAAACGGAATCTGTCCTGGGGAAATTCCCAATCGTAACACACTGTGGAACCCAACTTCAAGACAACTTGCAGATGAAGAAATGTAAACTTTCCTGAGATTGGACAGCAAACTTGCAGGGCACAAACTTTTCGGTAAAGGGTTAAAGAAGGTTTAGTTGACGTCTACAACCATTAAACCGTTGTAGCCACAAAGGCCAGATGAAACCGTTGTTTTTTTTTTGAGCTCGTAGCTAGGGTTCTGTATGCACAAACGCGATCGATCATTCATTAGCCGGGGCGCGCAGCCTTAAAATACCGGCTCCTCTGGGTGTCCCTGGGGCGCAAACAACCTCCGGCAGCTAGGAGTTTCCCAGTCGCCTATCACAGACGTGCATATTGTAGCCCCTAAGTGGACTCTGGGTTAAACAAATTCGCCTACATTGCATGCGTTCTACTACCGGGTGACTGGTCATTATCGACTCCCAATGCACATAGTGTGAACTTTCCAGAAGTTAGAACTTGCCAATACAAGTGAAAACAAGAAAAAATATCGGTCACTGTACAACAAACGGTATATGAAGCTCTGTGGCGTGCACCATTGTCAGTGTTTTTATATGGGACGGAAGTAATGTGAGCAACCTCATCGCGAAGGCCAAAATAGATGAACGCGAAAGTGGCTGCAGAGAATGAACCGCGGTGTGATCAAACCAGTTGTTGGTGAGTAGAAAAGAGTACTCATGGACAACCGACATGTCGAACTACACACCGCGACATGACAGCCTCGAATTCCAATTGCAAATTCATTGTTACCAAACAGAAAACCTCTGATTTTCGTGTGAGAATCACACATACTCAATTAGAACTCTTTTAGGAAGGCGTCGTCCTATCCAAATATGTGCACAATTACTTGGTTCTCGGCACCATTATAACCACAGTGAGTTAGAAATTTCACTTCTTCAACGCCCCCCCCCCCAACTTCGGCCATTGCCAGGAAAGAACTTGAGCAATCGGTCATATGACTGAGCGAATCAGTCTTGCTCACTCGGATTGCACCCTCAATCAAGTGTGACTTACCATTCGGACATGACCTTCAGCACGCTTTCCAAACTGCTTCATCCACTGCCTTCCTGATCCGTGAAAAGTTGTACGGCTTTGGTCGACTCAGCACAAAGATGGCCGCCAGTGGGTTCGCTCTTAGGGGGATGTGTCGGCCACTATATGGTAATACCTCTCCTGGGGAACTTGATCACAACTGAACTTTGTGATGTACAGTGCTGTTCTTCTTCAAACCCACCGATTCTTCTCCCTGTTTTTTCTCACATTTACTCGTGACTTCATCTAAACAGTAAATGTGGTTGCTGTCAATTTCACCAATCTGCGATGGGTTGGCCAAGACACAACTTTGACAGTTGGTTTTGTTGGTGGGGTGGCATAGTTAATGACGCTTGTCTGGGTGTGATCGGATATCCTTGTCTCCCATCGGTCATGCGGAACACATCCTCGTCCACCGTATCACATATCCCTTAGATCTATGATCCTCAGTAATGGAGATGAGGATCTTACCTATAGACGTAATACACTACTCATAAGGTTGCTGAAAAATCGTCGACAACCCACGACCGACTTCGTCGATCTTGCAGCTAATCAAATAGGCGCAGTTCCCGTCAACCTTATGTTCTACATGGACCCTAACTGCACGAAATTAGCGCAATACACTCATTTGCAAACCAATTTGGTTCTTCGATAGACTCAATTGGAGCCATTTGAATATCTCGTTTGTGATGTTTACAGGCAAAGGTTACATTTTTTCTAATGGCACTGAAATAGGTCCGGTCGTGAAATTTCGTTACTATACCAACGAGGGCCTCTTTAAACCTAGTATCCGCAGGCATCATCTATTTCCAAACTATTGAACTGATAGTTTTCCTATCAAAATGTAGTAAAGAGCCAAATAATTGGATAAAGTACCTATAGACTAATACACTACTCATAAGGTTGCTGAAAAATCGTCGACAACCCACGACCGACTTCGTCGATCTTGCAGCTAATCAAATAGGCGCAGTTCCCGTCAACCTTATGTTCTACATGGACCCTAACTGCACGAAATTAGCGCAATACACTCATTTGCAAACCAATTTGGTTTTGCGGAAGACTCACCTGGAACTCAGCTGAATCTCTTGTCTATGGTGTTCCTACCTAATTTTGTCTGATGGTGTTCTGTGAAAAATGGCGAGTAGTCAGGTATCCATATGATCTATTAGATCAAAGTGGACCTTAGAGTGGACGGTATAAATCAGCCAGGTTGCCGCATAACTGGTTGGTGGCTTGCGTATCATCTGAGATCAGTGTCCCAAGGTCAAAAGACTGATTCGTCAATGGGGGTAGTAGATGAGTCTGGACGTGACGCATCGTGGAATGAGTAAATTTGTTCAGATTAGTCAATGGATTTAATTTTACACCAACACCGAGGTTAGGGCGCGAACCTACTACTGATTGGAAGGTTCGTGGTCCGCCTTCACCTCAGGTTGTTAATCGAAGAACACGCTTGTCATTCTCTCCTTCGAAATTCGACCACTCTCGTGGCTAAATAAGTTTGTCTGATTAGAAGTGAGCACAGGACTGATAAGTTTTTTAAGAGGGCAATGGAAAATAGATACCATATCATTGTGGTCAGGCTTTTCAGTACCAAATCTATTACATGTAGTGTCTCCACTCCGGTTGACGACAGCAACGAGGTCACGACCCACGCCTTGGATTCGAATTCCGATAAAGTGGCCCACAATCACGTGTCATTCACGCGCTAGTGATTGATGCGAGGAGCAACAACATGAAAAGTTGAAGAACTCACCCCAGACTTTGCGAGGCCTGGCTTGTCGGTAACCAAATGCTTTAATTGTTCCAATGCACGGTTGATCCGTTGCCGCCGTCGTTTCTCTGTCTCCGGTTTGTTTTGCTGTCAAAAGCCAGTGGGGAATAGGAACAGTGGGATTGGGTTCGGACTGTACGAATGTCAACGGAAGAAGCGAACGTGATTTGAACCAATTAGAGTTGAGAGGACGTGTGGTCAGTCATAGCTTGCACCACACACTGTCCACTTTAGTTGAATGTGCAAGCAACCACGAGCGAGGCGATGCCACGGTAACAAACTGCCTCGGGCTGTGGAATCGTGCCCAACATGCACCGATTGTCAACAGGTAGGGTAGCAGAACAATACTGACAGAACAGCGAGCACATGGACCAACTTATCAATTAGGAGCATGTTTTTCAAATACCTGAACCCCGGATGAGATCCGCTCAGTATTTGTACAAAGTAAAAGACTAAGTGAACTTGTGAGTAGGTTTCGTTACACGTTTCAGGAGTGGTAAATAAGTTAGGTGTGACCAGTACATGAACAAGTCGATGCATCGGGTCACCTGACTTTCAAGCAGTCAGATTTTTCCACAAAAATGTTTGTGGAATATTCCAAGTGGCCATGGTCACAAAATCCCAAAACATCAAGGCGGGTGTGCGGTTTGCTTTAGATAAAGCCTTATTCTCTCAACAAGACCCAAAAAAAATTTGTGTCGAGAAAGACAATTTAGAATGCACGAATTTCGAGAAGCACACTCATTTGCAAATCAATTTGGTTTTTGCGGGAGACTCAACGGAATCTCTCGTTTATGATATTCTGCAACTGAAAGTGCTGCAAGTAGATCCTAAGGTTGACGGAAACTCGGGGACCACGCCTACCTGATGATCCGCAAGAAGTGCGAAACCGGTCGTGGGCTGTCGAAGAGTTTTCAGCAACCTTATGAGTAGTTTCCTTCATGAAAAGG